AACAAACAAACAAACAAACAAATAAATAAATAAATAAATAAATAAATAAATAAATAAATAAATAAATGAATGAATGAATGAATGAATGAATGAATGAATTTCATATTGTTAATGTGTTGCACTGTAGTGACCAGTACACCAGAAAAATGCTAGGGAATATTGTCTGGTTCCCTGTAGAGCCATTTACACTTTGAGAACACTTTTTAAAAAAATCAAAGCAGTGCTTCTCCTTTGCTTAGGTCTAATCAGAGATTGCATTGAACCGTGAAAAAATCCTGTCCAATACCTTAGAAATATCTTTAAAAATAATCTGGGGAAGTAATGAGAACACATTGCTTTTGCCAAAAAAAGTAATGTTCCTGAGTACTCATTACATTGCTGTAGAAAGGTATCTTAGTTCCTTGTTACACAAAAGGTAACTAATTACAACTAACTAAAGGGACGTGGTGGCACTGCGGGCTAAACCACAGAAGCCTCTGTGCTGTAAGGTCTGTAGATCTTCAGCTGTAAGATCTAATCCACGTGACGGAGTGAGCGCCCGTCGCTTGTCCCAGCTCCCGCCAACCTAACAGCGTGAAAGCATGCAAATGCAAGTAGAAAAAAAGGGACCACCTTGGTGGGAAGGTAACAGCGTTCCGTGTCTAAGTCGCACTGGCCATGTGACCACGGAAGATTGTCTTCCGACAAACGCTGGCTCTATGGCTTGGAAATGGGGATGAGCACCGCCCCCTAGAGCCAAATACGACTGGACAAAAATTGTCAAGGGGAACCTTTACCTTTACCCTATGTGATTTGTAACTGCTTGCTTCCAAGCTCTGTATTAGATGAATGCAAAACCTTGAATGGGCTCTTCCTCACACAGATCAGAAATCCACCAACTCTGGAGGAATGGTCCCAGTCCCTAAAGAAATGGTACAAGTCAGGGAAATTGCCCCTGTTCCCAGACAGCCACAGGATTCATGCACACACCACAGAATACACAGCATAAAGGCAAAAGAACTGCTCTTTCGCTACAGGATGTACAAGTAAAAGGAGCATTCCTCAGGACATTTTCGGGCCGAGATTTTTCTAAACCATGACCAGTATCTAGAGCTTTTTCTTTTTTTGTTTTTATACTGTATATCTGCTGGATGACTTCTTAGTAGGGGACCATCAGAACAGTGGCACTTCTATTTGGACAAATTTGATATATATTTCTGTAATGGTGATCACAATTTCATGGTCACTGACTGGAGGGTTCCAAAATCTGTAGTCCAAAAAAAAAAAAAGGGAACTTTTTCAAGTTCTGCGAAGTGGTGGTCATTCATGAGAAGTGCTTAACTTTGGGTCATGTACATGGTTTGTGCAGACAGATTATGATATTTACTTCAAGCTGTTCCTACAGATTCTCACAGGGATATGCCTTTCTCTCTGTTTCTAGTTCTGATGTTGCAGGGAGCCATCAGTGTTGGGCAGAAAACCTTTGTTTCAACTGGCAAACATGACACATTCGCAAATGGAAAAACTCTGTGTGCCAGCGCGGGGGCAGCCCTTGCCAGCCCAAGGAATGTAGCTGAGAACACAGCTCTGACGGAGGTTATGAAGAGGAAATCAGAGCATGCTTTCCTTGATATCAACGATAGACAGACAGAGGGCAAATTTGTATATTCAAATGGAGAAACTGTAGGTTACACAAACTGGGCAGGAGGAGAGCCTAACAATGACAATAATGAGGACTGTGTTATACTAAATGAGAGTTCGCGATGGATTGATGTTCCTTGTCACTATAAATACCTGATTATTTGTGAGATTTAATTGGTGTACCAAGAACCCTAATTTTGTAGACACAATCTGCCAGCGGCTGGTAACATAAGCAAATGGATTCAGCTCTTCAGGCCTGTATGGATAGGTAAGAATTCTGTCATTCAGTTTGTTCTTTCTTGGAATTTATCAAAACCGACAAAACTCACATGTGGAAGAGAGTGAAAATAACAGATTTGCTCAGCCCTACTAAGGATGAATGAGAACTTCATTTCTGGTTTGTTTATTATTATTTTTAACTGAGTTTGCTGGCCTATTGCTGAGTGGGGCCTCTGGGCTATCTAGACTACACAAAAGGAATCCAATACACACCATTCTTTGGGAAGGGGAAGAGGTCACAATTTTATTGGTTAAAGCAGCAGTCCCTGGCCAGCATTAGGGGATTGGATACAGTCCATCAGGAAGCCCAAATGCCCCCTCATGCTTACCTCTGTTTGCTTCAGCAGCCACTGAATGTTCCACCAGAAGTAGCCATTTTCTAGGGACCACCCAAGCATACACCACTCCATGATGGGCATGTGAGGGCAGGGATTGAGCCACTAGGCCTCCAAGCTAGGCCAGACTATGACTCTGCTCCAATCTACCCATTTTGGGTGGTTCATTTACATTTTGGGGATTTGTCTCCTGTCTTCACCCTTAAACTGTCTGGTTTCTACCGAGATGCCCTGAACTGCCAACAAAGATGGGACAAAATCAATATACAGCAAAAGAGCATTGTAGTGATACACTCAACCCTTCACTCTTGCAACCAATAAAATAAGCTCAATATTCTGCCACCATAAAAGAGGGAGGGAGGAAAAGGGACAGTGAGCAGCAGACTGGACAGGGAGTGGCTATGCCCTCCTGTTTTAAAGCTGGACAGGTGGAACTGAGTGGAAACTCCCCTTTCCTGGTCAACCAGTCCAGCAGACTCCACCAATATAAGGCCGGCCAGGGAACCCAACTACCTGCTGGCCAATCAGGAGCTGAGAGGGGGATCCCGGGCAGTCACCCCCAGCCTGTCTTGCCAAACTGCCACTATGCCTGCCCGGACATCCCAAACCTGGGGAATCCTTCTTGGCAGCAACAAGCTACACTCATGTAAGTCTGGGACCTTAGTTTACCAGCATCTCTAAAATCTGAATATGAGGAAAAGTGAAATGGAGAGATTTGTCCATCTGTAATAGAGCTGGATTATTTTTAAGAGAGTGGGAAATCAAAGGAATTATTGCAGTTGTTTGCATGCATAGTTTTTGCTTCTTAATTATTTTGGTTAAGAAATCTTTTCAACATCTTGCAATAGAAAGTGACAAAACATGATTTCCAATATGACAGAGATGAGCAATCACATGCTGTGGATGTGCTACTGTCAGCTGGGAGGCAGAGAGTAGACCAGCTGATTGTCAGTCTCCAGCCTCAGTTCATAAAATATCGGCTCTGTGTTGCTCAGATCAAGGATTTACACATGCAAGCGGAGATTTAAGCATACACAAGAGTTGCTCAGATTTCTGGTTGGTCTATGAGGTTAAGTTGAAAAGTCTTTGAACTTGTCTTTCATTCCAACATACAGGCAGTAACACATTGTTACTGCATCGTGTGTGTGTGTGTGTGTGTGTGTGTGTGTGTGTGTGTCTGTGTGTGTGTGTGTGTGTGTATGTGTGTGTGTTTCAGAGAGAGGGAGCTATCCAAAGTACTAAACCCATTTGGGGAGCCCAGAATAAATCCAGTTTGTGAATACAGTGGTGCCACACACCACAACGATAATCCGTTCCCCTGAAATTGATGTTAAGCGAAAACATCATCCAGCAAAAACAGTTTCCCCATTGGAATGCATTGAAACCCATTTAATGCATTCCAATAGGGAAATTACCTTGTCGAAGATCGTCCATAGGGGAAGCCATTTCCGAGCGCCGATCAGCTGTTAAAATGGCTGCCCTGCGAAGCACGGGTCCCGAAAACACAGGGCAGCCATTTTGCGGAGCCAGAAAACATCGTCATCTTGTGAACAAATGGTTCGCAAAACACGGACCTAATCTACGTCAAGTGAAAATCCCCCATAGGAAACATAGTTTTGCGATCGCTATAGCGATTGAGAAAAAGTCACCGTCCTGCAGATTCGTCATACAGCGGGGTCATCGTCTAGCGAGGTACCACTGTACGGGATATTGTGCTTCTCTGTCTACAATTCAAAATGCCAGAAAATTGCCCAATATTGCTGTACAATATTGTGCCCATGTGGGCAGCAGGAAAAAGGATCCCACGGATTACATAACAAAAGTCAGCCTGTATGTTGACTGACATCAATGTCAACAGTCTAGATAGCCTACAGCAGTGGTCCCCAATCTTGGTCCTCCGGATGTTCTTGGACTACAACTCCCAGAAGCCTTCACTACCACTTCTGCTGGCCAGGGTTTCTGGGTTGACATCAGTGTCAACAGTCTTGATAGCCTGCAGGATACCTTCTTGCACTCACTATCATTCACCAAGCAGGGGGAAATCCCAGGACCTGGCTCTTCCCCCCTCCCATCATTTAACCACTTCTCACCCAAACAAAGAACAATTGTCAGAGTTAGTCTTCAACAAGTTCTATAGGTATGTATCACTTGGAAAATAAGGAGGCTCATCAAGTCCTGTGATGAAACAACTGCTTTGTAGGGGTGAAAGTGACAGAGGATTGTTAAACTCAGGCCCTTGAACCGATTGCAGATGTATATGGACAGAGGTGGCTTTGATTTCACATTTCAGATCTTGGATTTTGCAGATTCAGAGGATGGTGGTCTTCTTTCTTCTCATCTGCATTAGGAACCTACTTTTTCTTTGCTGAAGCATGTTGTCAGCAGAGCATGATCTTTGCTACTGCTCTCAGTTTTGAGTCTGGATGCCAATGTTTCAAACACAAAGTGATGATTCATAAGTTGTAGTATTAAGGAGGAGGCTGAGAGAATAATTGACAATATTTGTTGCTCCATTCATCTTGATATAGAACAACAAATCAGCAAATACAGAACTGAATTTAGCATACATTTTTCAATGCAAAAAACATAGCCTACCAGATACCCTAATTTGAACAATTTCCCAGCTTACCCAGAGGTTCAAGTATACTGTATTCCCAAGAAGCATCATTTTGCAAAGAGCCCTGAATGTGATTTAAAATGAGGTTTTGCAATGTATCCATACCTTTCCTTTACAAGGAAGTAGTCTTCTCAAATTCTGGCTACACTGTGCACCATTGTTGAGCATGAAAGAATGTCAACCCCAAGGTAACATTCTTTTCCAATACATATCGGCTGGGAGTGCTATGCACCAGGTTGCATGAGGTAGAAATTATTCCAAATTCATGTAAAGTCTTTGGGGATAAACAATCCAGTACCTTTCAGCTGCAGAGTCATGTACTTGAGGGCACACAGTTAATCTGAAAGATATATTTCTCCTAGGCATTTTGATTACTTTGTGCCTCTGAGTACAAACTAATGTTGTGGTAAACTAATGTTGCCATGCCTGCTTCATAGAATGCAGCCCAGAAAGCTATCTTCTAATTTCAAAACCTTTGCTCTACAAACATGTTGTTTGCATGTTTTCCAAAATATGTCCAAACATTTGCTCTACAAACATGTTTGCATGTTTTCAAAAATATGTCCTCCCATCTTGTGAAATTAATAAAGGGAGGGGCTGGGAATTAGCAAAGCTTGTCACTGGAAATCAAGGTCAAAATCATCTATATTAGGTGAAAAAAAGATAGTGAAGAAAGATAGGGGAGAATCAACTCATTTGAAATGCAGTATTGGAGGAGGGCCTTGCAGATACCATAGATAGTTGAAAACGCAAGTTAAGTGGGTGCTCAATCAAGTCAAACCTGAACTCTCACTGGGGCAAAAATGAATAAACTGAGGCTATCCTGCCTTGCACATATAATGAGAATACAGAACTGACTAGAAAAGACAATATTACTGAGAAAAATGGGGGAGCAGTAAGAAGACCTAACATGAGATGGATTTGTTAGTGCGTGAACACGCGGAAAAGTTTTAGCAGAGTAACTTCAAGGTCCTTGTGGCAAAATGACTCACACAGGGCAAAAATGAATAACTTGAGGCTATCCTGCTTTGCACATATAATGAGAATACAGAACTGACTAGAAAAGACAATATTACTGAGAAAAATGGGGGAGCAGTAAGAAGACCTAACATGAGATGGATTTGTTAGTGCGTGAACACGCGGAAAAGTTTTAGCAGAGTAACTTCAAGGTCCTTGTGGCAAAATGACTCACACAGACATGATCAGCTTCTTCCACCACCAGACGTATATTTACAGGATATTTACAGATATACAGAGCGACAGCACAACACCATGAATTCATCCGAAGAGCAGGAATACATCTTCTCTGTACAGTCCACATATATACAGTTATGCCTCTGGCCGTGTCCAATCAGCACAGATGTTGCATCATCTTTGAGCCAGCCCTCCTGAGTCACAGTGACTCAGCATTTTGACACACCTGAACATCATGGCTGCTCATTAGGACATTTGTTCTGCTCAGGCCTGTAAATTTTATACTCTGACAGGATTGACTCAATAAAATAATCCACAGCTATTGGTTTGCAAGAGCTGTGCTGAACTTCCTGAACAAGACAACATCCCTATGCCAGGTTTGGCCCAGAATTGATTAACATGGTTTTCACACACATGGTTTGAATAGCATTTAAGTTTCTCTCATGCTATTAATGTGCATGTATGAAAGACCATTTTAAAGTGTGCTTGCATCAAGTTTTCAGTAAGCTGATAACCATGCAGAAAGATTCACAACCAAATTTCAGTCTTTAGAGAAGAGCTGTGCCTTCGTACCTTTGCAAATGCTTTGCTCACAGCTTATCATGTGTTAAATACCTCAGGTAATTCCCTATAAGGTGAAATATTTTTACAACCATACACAGAATCTCCTTGCAAGCACAAATGCCAAGAAGCCTGTTTGGCCATGAAGGGGTTTCAAAAGTTCTCCTCCTGAGAGTCAGATAAGTTGGTCCTTACTGACAGGGTCAAACATTCAGATTGTCCAGGAGTGGAGCTGATTTTCCCTTTGAAAACTCATATTGAGGTGCTGTTTTGTTTGAAAAATCCTGATCCTCTTTTGGATTTTTTAACATATGAGAAAATACTTTGAATATGCTTCGCAAAATTCCCAGAAGATATATGACAAAATGTCCCCCTTTCTGGAA